TGGTGGCATAGTGCCTAAGGCATTTGACTGCTAACCAGAAGCCTGGTGGTTCAAACCCACCAGCCACTCCTTGGAAGGAAGTTTGGGCAATCTACTTCCATAGTGATACTGCCTTGGAAACCCAAGGAGGGGTCGCTATGAGTCAGATCCAGCTTACAGCAGTGGGTTTGGTTTGGTTGGTTCCAATGACCAAGATAAGTGTGACCTTAGCGCCTGAAGGTTAACCTTCATGTTCCTTGCCCCTAAAGCCAAGTAGCCCAGTGCCTAAGGCTATGGATAGGTCTTACGGTTCCTGATAGGGCCTGAATTGTTGTCTAGTCCAAATATGATTCTCATTTTATATCTAGTCTCTGCTTGCACACCTTCTGTGATGAGAATTTTTATTCTCCCCAGTAGAAAATATAATGAAATAAATTTGGGATTAGCAATATGGAGAGTTAGGTTTGAGTCCCTGCTGTACCACTAGTGTGATCTTTGATAAGTCCTTTCACATTTCTGGACTTCAGTTTCTTCATGAGTGAGATGGTGATGGAGGAGTCAATTTGCTTTAGTTTGTGTTGGTTTAGCTGCTGAAATAAGTGGTCCTCAAATATTCAGTGGCTTTAAAAAAAAAGTTTCTTCAATCATGGGAGAAAGAAGGCTGCTTATGCATAGGGAGACAGCTCAGGGAGCAGGAGTGCATGGAGGGATGGACACTGGGAATGGGAAGAGGTAACTATGGGGAGGAAGTGGGAGGGGAGCTGTTGCATTGAGGAAGTGGGAGGGGAGCTGTTGCATTGTGGTAAACTGTGGTCAATGTCATGAGACAAAGTGTATGTGAACTGCTGTATAGAAAGTGAATTTGCTCTGTAAATCTTCACCCAAATCACAATTTAAAAAAAGAAGAAGAAGAAGAAGAAGTTTCTTTCTTTCTCATGTAACATCCAGGGTAAGGGTTGCAGATTGGCAAGAGAGGGGGAACTTTGCTCCATGTAGCTGTTCAAGGATCCAAGCAGAACTGATGGCAGTTCTGCCAGTATCAATACATGGCTTACAAGGCCACTCTACAGTTGTAGCCTACAGGAGGGCAGAAACCTCATAGGAAATTTTTTTATGATCCAGACCTAGAATTGGTGCATATCACTTTTACCCACATTCTATTGCTCAGAATGCAGTCACATGGTCACACAAAACTTCTAAACATGCTGAGAAATGTAGTATAGCTGTGTGTCAGGTTGAAAAAGAATTTATTTTGGTAGCTAGCTAATTTGTTTACATTTTTCTCTGCTCAGCCTTACAAAGCAAGCCTCTTCTACAGAGTTGGATGATCTCTAAAGGCCCCTACCTCAGTTCTGAAATCCTAGATGTGTTATGAACTAGGCTCCTGGTACTCATATGGCCCTGCTTGAGGTGGTTTGGAACTCACCTAACCTCTCTGGCCACTAAGGACCAGCAGTCCGGCAGTTCAGTCCAGTGCAATGCCTCTGAAAAGCCAAAGAAGGAAAATGGAGATACCAGTCATGCCACCAGGGCACCACATTAAACTAAGGTGTCTTTGTGCTTCTTGTCTCCACAGCATGGGTAGGAGCCCTCGCTATGGGCATGGTCTTCTTCTGTTCTCCCATTGTGAGTATATTCACTGACCGTTTGGGCTGCCGAATCACAGCAACTGCAGGGGCTGCTGTTGCTTTCATTGGTCTCCATACCAGCTCCTTCACCAGGTAAGGCTAAGGGTAGCTGGACATTTTCCCAAGGGTGAAGGTTGGCTTCTTTCTGGGCTTCAGCTAGAAACACTCTTCTCACTGCAGATCCCCATGACCTTGGCCTCAAGATCCTTGCTCCAGGATTCATTGTCCAATGGGACTCATCTAGATAGGGAATATTTCCAAAGAAGACCTAAGAGTTTCAAGGTTTGGGAGGAGCCCAAGCCTGGGAATTCATACAACTGGGCCCAAGTCCAATTTTGCCCAATGAATGCCTGTGGAACAATTGATGAATCCATTCCCCCCACTGGGACTCAATTTCTATATCTGTAACATGAGGGGATTGGACCAGATGATCTTCTCATCTATTCCAGCCCTGCTATTCTATTCTCCTCCAACATGCGACACATCTCATGACCCCACCTTCCTTCCCAGAAATGAGCTACTCAAGTGGAGCCTATTTGAACATCTAGCATTCCAGGATTTCTGAGGGAATCTTTTGAAGAAAAAAAGGTCTTCTAAGCCCAAGGATGTTTAACATTTCTGGCCCTTTTCCAGGCATCTCTGCCTGCCAATGCATGGATGGATTTGGGACAAAAATTCGTGTCTTTGTCATGAAAAAAGATGTTTGGATGTTTAACACTGTCCTAAGTTTGAACAGGTACAGCTACCCAGATGGGCCTAGGCTAAATGCAAACCCTAGTCTCACTGACAGAACTTGGTACAGTCAGGTGAGGAGCAGGCCATAAGTTTCTTTTTTCTGCTTTCTTTTCTTCAAAACCTGCAGAAGCATGTGTGTAGGGGATGGAATAACTGAAGACCCTACACCACACCCTGAGGAATGTGGGATTCCTAAAAAATAAAATAAAAAAAAAATACTCTGTTGACTCTCTGCCAAAGACACTTTGGAAGTTTTTGTACCTCCTACTTCCAATCTGCCTGAGATGAATTAGGAAAATAGAAGCCTGGGGACCTGGGAATGGCCATAGTGACATGTCTGGAATGAGGGCAGAGCTAACTTGTCAGAGACTTGCTTTTTGAGCTTGGCTTCCCAGAGAATGACCATGGATATGTTCTTTAGGACTACCAGAGGAGAATGTTAATTGTGTTCTGCCACAATTGGGTCCTGTGAGGGTAAACCAGCTTTCTTTATGACTTGAGCATTTCCAGCCACCCGGCCTACACTCCAAAGAGCTTGGATTTGGCCTGCTATGATTTCTTGGCACTGTCTCATTCAATTGGTATAGAGGAGGTTAATAAGCATGTCCTGGAACCTGCTCAGCCCTTCCAGTGAAGCAGCTCAAAAACCTTTTCAGGACCCCTCTAGTGATCAGCTTCATTTGCCCTCTGTAAGGCTGGTGCCTAGCTCTTTATGTGGAAGAGCTAGGCCTCAGACAAAGCTCCAGTCCCAGCACTGCACTGCTGAACAGAACAAAATGTAAACAAATTATCAACATATGAATCCCATTTCCCTTCCAATCCACATGGGTTCAGTTACAGGAAGAGACGGAAATCAGATGTGGTGTTTTCTCCTGGTGCTCATCTTTAGGCATGCTGGAGTAGGCATTCTGTTCTCTAGCCCCTAGTTCCCTCCTCACTCCATTTGCTCTTTCTGTATGGACATCTTCAGAGCCAAAAATCTTTCTGGATGGCTTCACAAGCAGTAGAAAAGTGTTTCTGCCTGTGGCTAGTCCTCCAAGTCATCCTTACAGTTGTCTGACTCAGGGCTCTGATTTCCCTTGGATGGCATGAAATGGGTCAGAGTGCAGGCACGGTTTGTGAGGCTTTAGCAAGCGCAACTCAAAGGCCTTCTGTCCTGGAGCCCAGATAGAAATAGATTCACCATACAACACCCTTAACTGAATCCCATGCTTTGTTTCCACCAGCCCCCTTCCCAAAGTTCTAATTCCTCTCCCTTACACAAGGCTCCCAGCCCAGGCCAAAAACCAAAAGTGCTTCAAGAATCTAATGGAAGCAAGCTCCAAGGAACCTGACAGAATAGGAGCAGTTGGCTTCTCTGTGTGTTCCAAGTGAAGGCAAACCATTTGAAACCAGAGCACTTACTCATGTCCAGTTAATGCAAGCAGATGGAGAACAGTGATTATGGGAGATTTCTTGGAAACATGCATGATAGAACCACATCATCTCTGCAGCATAGGCTCAGCCCTTTAGTATGAGACCTGGGTCTATCCATGGGGATGAACTACCTGACCATGGAGAGAATTAAATAAGTAAATGGGCAGATAAGGTGTGTTCCAAAACATATGGAAGCATAAAAAAGAAACAGAATTCTTCATTAGGCTGTGCAAATATTGTCTGGGGGCAGAGGGCTGGCCAAGCTGACCTGCCCATGACCTTTTTCCTTCTAAGACTTTGCCTTCTGTTACAGAGACTTAGGGCCACAGCAGGTTCAAAGAGTTTTAAGCCAAGAGCTGTGTTGGCCAGGCCCTCAACTTCTTTGAGGCTCCACTTCCCATTTGGCAACCAACCTGGCTCCCTCAGCCTCAGGCTACTATGGAGAGCTAAGCCATGTCCAGCAACAGAGGCAAGGATCTAGAAGTTAAAGGGACTCCTCACCTCAGGATCCCCAGGGGTGTCTCAAGAGCTTTAAACATGAAGAAAGACACTAAAGAGTCCTATGGAGGGTCTCAACCTTTCAGCATCAGAGATATTTGTAAATTTTTTATTACTACTTTGGATAAAGTTGTGGCCACCAGCCTATCCATGGTGGATAGTGGCTATGGCTATGGCTTATCCAAGTCTCAGTGAGCAGTGAGGTGAAATTGTAGTCCCTCATCTAGCCTTTGCGTAGGCTGGTTCTGGCTTTCTTTTGAAAAATTCTATTTGATGGGGTGCTGTGGAATGATTACTAGAGTCACACAGACCTGGACTCAAATCCAAGCTTTATTGATCCTTGATTATGTAACCTTGGGCAAATACTTTACCTCTCAAAGCATCTGCTTCCTCATCTGCAAAATGGGGATCAGAAGGCCCTGTTCCTTGTCTTCTCTGAGGATCAGTGGCAGGTGGGGCTGTGGATTTAGGGGGATGTGGAGGTCTTAAGGGAAAAAGGCAGGTGAATTGCTGATCAGGCTGTTGAGAACAGCTCTTGGTGTCTCCCCCACAGCTCCCTAAGCCTGCGCTACTTCACCTATGGGATTCTCTTTGGTTGTGGCTGTTCCTTCGCCTTTCAGCCATCCCTCGTCATCCTGGGCCACTATTTCCAACGCCGCCTGGGTCTGGCCAATGGTGTGGTGTCTGCTGGGAGTAGCATCTTCTCCATGTCTTTCCCCTTCCTCATCAATATGCTGGGGGACAAGATCAAGCTGGCCCAAACCTTCCAGGTGCTGAGTACCTTTATGTTTGTTCTCATGCTGCTTTCACTCACCTACCGGCCCCTCCTGCCCAGCTCCCAGGACACCCCAAGCAAGATGGGTGTCCATACCCTGCACCAGCGCTTTCTGGCTCAGCTCAGGAAGTATTTCAACATGCGAGTGTTTCGCCAACGTACCTACCGCATCTGGGCCTTCGGGATTGCTGCTGCTGCCCTTGGCTACTTCATTCCCTATGTACACCTGGTGAGGAATATGAGAGTGGGCCCACCCCACCTGGACCCAGGGAGCTGCCTTCAATCTGCCTAGAATTCATAGGGTGGGGGGTAGAGGATATTGAAAGGGCAGAGCTGAAAGTTTCAGAAAAAGACAAAACAGTGGTTGGAGAGACCCAGGGAGGGGAAGGGCGCAGGTTGAGGGAAGACTTTAATGGGAAATGAAAGGAGTTCCTCACAGGAAGGTCAATGGGCTGTGGTTTCCTCACTGATCAATCTAGATAGACTTTTAGGAGAAGATAGGCATTGTCTGGATGCAGGGGACTGGCCTAGATGGCCCAAGGATACAGTTTTCTAAGGTCTTTATGGTCAGACGATTTTGTTTAGGAAACAACACCCATTAGATCTCTCTTTCCCTCTTAGAGTTTCATAATATGTAGTAATCTATTAAATGTTCTTAAAAAAAAAAAAAAAAAAAAAAACTTGCAGCAAAAGAACCCATTTAGCTTTATTTAACTCAGCATCCACCAAAATTACATGGCCACAGAACCCTTGGTTGTAACCCAGTTGTCCTCTACAGACCTTGGGTTCCTTAGAATGTGCTTTTGGAAGATCTTTCTTTGGTGGATTCTTCTTTTTGATGGATTCTTCTCCCCTGCTGTCCTGCTTTACCCCAGACTATCAGTTCTGGGTAGATTAGGGAGATTGTAGAGGAACTCTTGGATTTTCTCAGCTGTTAGGAGTGTATTCTGTCCTGCCAGGGCTTGGAAGGGGCTTGGAGATACCCTACCCCTTTCAGATGCTGCTCAGAAGCCCAGAATCCAGGTAACCAAGGGAGACCTATACGGCCTTTTAGGTTGTTGGGAGCATTTAGAAAGATTGTCCTGGATTTAGGGCTACAGAGGAGAAGGCTGTTGCCCTGGTTTAGGAAAGTAAGCACTAAAGGGTTCTGGAAATGCCAACAGTTAGCTTCTCTTCCTCTTCCTGTCCTTGGGGACCTGGTGTTATACTTTTCAGATGAAGTATGTGGAAGAGGAGTTCTCAGAAATCAAGGAGACCTGGGTGCTCTTGGTGTGTATTGGGGCTACCTCAGGCCTCGGGCGTCTTGTGTCAGGCCGTATCAGCGATTCCATTCCTGGACTTAAGAAGATCTACTTGCAGGTGAGTATGGCCATCCTGTCCACTGTGGGAAGGAACAGCCTACCACAGATCCTAGGTTACCCCCAGCCTTTGGGATAACATGGTACGATGTGCAACTGCTGTGCACTGGGCTCCAACTCTGAAACCAGTTTGTTGTGTGACATGGGAAAATCAATCAAATTATCTAAGCCTCAGTTTCCTCTCTACTTTCAAATGAAGACAATCATCCTTATAGATCTTGATAGAGTAAGAATCTAATGAAAGCAGTGAATATGGGACATCTTAAAAACAAAACTAGTTGCTGTCGAATCAATTCTGGCTCATGGTGACCCTATGTGTGTCAAAGTAGAAATTTCCTCCATATGATTTTCCTGCTTGTGACCCTTTGGAATCAGATCACTAGGCCTTTTTTCTGAGGCATCCCTGAAAGGATTTGAACCTCCAATCTTTCATTTAGTAGCCAACTGCTTAAACATTTGTGCCACCCAGGGACTCCAGGTCCACTTTCAGAACATTTTAAAAAGAAGGTGTTATTTACAGTGGCCCCTCCATCTGTAAGGAAGAAAGTGAGGACAGGAGCTAGATGCTGTTCCCAGTGAGATCTGATCTCATTGCTATCCTCTCTTGAAGGGTCTTTGGCATCTGTAGCGCTCTATGGTCCAGTGTTTATCTCTTCTAGGTCCGGGCCAAGATCCATCACAATACTTCCAGAGCTACTTGGTACCAAGTTCCAAAACACCATCCTATAATGGATACAAAACAATTGCCAGAAGAGACTAGACCTCTCTTCTCCTCTTTAGCCCTATTTCCTCATTTTGCAATGGGAATAATTCTTATCTTGACTATCTCATCTCACAGATGAGTATCAAAAGAAATATAGGTGTGAGCAGACTTTGTGAAGTAAAATATGTTATAGCCATGTAAGGCTTTAATCTTTCTGACAGTGACACAAGGAGCTTCATGTTATGGGAAATAGCCACATGATTGTGTGAACTAGGCACTAGTCTGGTTAGAATAGAGACTATTGCTCAGGCTGTCTGCCTGTCTATGTGGCAGAAATATTGTCTTTCTGATTTGGCTTATGCTTTTCACTCCTGCACCTGGGCATACTAGAAGGTGACCAAGTGTGGAATCTCGTGCAGGGGTGAAGGCATTACCAGAAAACAAGTGGTCACAAATAATCCATTTGGAAGGTGACTGAGTTCTGATTCACTTGTCTGCTGGTGAAGCTCTAAAAACACTTCAAAGGGACCTTGACTACACTTACAGAAGGATTTCTCTCTCTTCTGGCAGCCCCCAGTGCTTTCTCAAATACCTTCAGATGTCTTGGTCAAGGATATGATTAAGATGTTCTGTTGTGTTAGACTCTTTGTTAGGTTTTCAGAAGCTGGTAAATCTGCTGTGTGCAAGTTAGAGGAGCTCTTATGGTTCATCAAGTCCAATCTCTCATTACACTGATGAAGATACCGGGCAAAAGCTCACACAGCCAGTAGTGGCAGAACTGAATTCCCATGCAATACTCTTCTCCTATTCCTATTTACCCTAAGTGATAGTTAGCAAAGACAAATCCTAGAGATCATAGGTGACTTGACCAAGGTCAAGCAAAGAAACTGTGATTGAGATAAACCAATTATGAACATTTGATTTACTATGTAAATATTAGCAAGTACCTTCTCTGGGTGGCTTTGTTCATAATTGTGGCTTTGCTAGCCTGTTCTACATGCCATCCCTGTAAGGTCTTCCTTGCCAGTATCAGCAGCTCGAAGATGCCAAAGTGTTCTAGAAATCAAGCTGAACTGGACTTGGGCCAGGTATTTATTTTGAGAAGAAATAGAAGGTTCTCCCTAGCCATATAGCTCATTTGATTTTCACAACAACCCCTAGGAAAGAAGTAGAGTCTGAGCAACCTTTCTTTCTCTATTGTTCAGAGGGTGCTCCAAAGGAGGGGAAGGTATTAGCTAAGCTTAGGACCTAGTACTTCTGCTGACCACTTCTCCCTCACCCATTCACCTTCTGCTCCCCATTTCCACTCTTACTTGACCCGGTTTTACCACCTAGAATAGTATAAAAATAATCTTAGGACATTATAGCTTAAACATATCTTCCTCAACTTGTAGTCTAAGTCCCTCATTTTACAAATTGGAGAACTGAGGCCAAAAGAGGGAAAGTGCATTGTACAAGCTTATCCTGCTAGTGAGTTTCACAAGTTGAGAGCATGGACAAAGGATGAATTTCTTTCTTTTGAACTCCTTAAGATTCCATCACAAGAATTTGGAGGCAGCCATTCACAACAGCTGAGTATACACAGCTCAAGGTTGTGAATAGCCACCCACAGCAAGCCCAGAAAGATTCACTAGACACTGTGATTCCTGCTACTGGCAAGGACAGGCACATGTGTCTGGTATTGAGCTCTTGCACATTCTGTCTGCCTATCTATCCAAAAAGAAAATGGGAAAGAAGGAGGAAGGGAAATGATAAACATGGGGAAGAAGTAGAAAGAGTACTGTTACATTGTGGGGATTGCAATCAAAACAAAATTGTTCAGTGGAAAACCAACTTGCTGTGTAAATTTTCACCCAAATCACAATTTTAAAAAAATAAATAAAGATCTTTAAGCCAGTGAGGGGGAAAAAAAGAAAAGAAGACAGTGAAAACCTACAGAACAGCCTCATTTGGGGCTAGTTCTTGAGGCCCGATTCTCAGTTCCAAGAGGGATTTTCAATTTCATAATCCTGGAGAGAAACAGCTTGATACAATAGGTAGTAATTAAAACAAAAACAAACAAACAAACAAACAAAAAACTCACTGCCACTGAGTTGATTCCGACTCATAGCGACCCCCATTGGGTTTCAGAGGTGGTAAATCTTTATGGAAGTAGATTGCTCCATCTTTCTTCCGTGGAGTGTTTGGTGGGTTTGAACCACCAACCTTCTGGTTGGAAGTCAAATGCCTTAGGCACTACACGACCAGAGCTACTTAGGTAGTAATTAGCCCATTCAAATCAGTTAATGGATGGAGGTCTTTTGCTATATAATGACATTAATTCTTAATTGTCACAAGGGGCTTGGCTGATAGTTGGGTCTGGTTTTAACTCATAGTTGTGTGGTATGAATCTAGAGGAGAAGCAAGGGCTGTCTGGGTTCTTATTCCTAGCTTCTGCCTAGCTATCCCAAAACAGCCTGGGTAAAGTTCAAAGATCCCCCAATAAAGAGATTTCCTCAGATGGTATGGCCAGCACATTTGTCCTCCTCTCCAAAAACCAACAGATCAACCTAACAAACTCACTGCCAGCAATAATACAGAAAATCATTAGAGCATGAAACAGCCTGATTCTTCTGCTTCTTTCATGTGTTTCTGGGTAAGTTAGCTTGCCTCTACAAAATATTGAAAAATCCTTGGGCCATGGTAAACAAGTTGGATCTTAGCTCTGGCCCTGGGAAGACCTGATCTGTTGGCAGCTGCAGGTGGGGAGAAGGGGGTCCTTTTTCTGCCTGCAGTCCAGGTCTCCAGTCTGGCTCACAAACACGGGATACAAATGAACTTAATCAAAAGACAGCTGTGTTTCCAGTGACTCATCCTTATATTTAGAGAGAAAAACCAGCCTCTGGAAAGGCAGTTTCTTTGCTTTGAAAACATTTTGTTGTGCCCAAAGATATCCTAGCGGCTTTTCAGTGCCTTTGGGCTGGCTTTGGGCTCCCTAGACACCTTCCCAGTGGCTTGGTTCTCTTGAAAGACTGATTTGTTGTTCTCTCAGGGTGCCCAGCCAAGCCTAGAGGCTCCCAGAACCATAAGAAACTTGGGTGAACCTCCCAATGGTCTCCTTCATGCAAAGGTGTTTTCTAAACTCAGATCCCCATAAAAATGAGCAGTGGTTCCTTCCGCATTTCAGGAAGCAGTGCCTTTCATTCAAGCCTAGGTCTACTCCTCATGCAAGACATCTTTGCTCCCTCCCAGCTTCCTCTTCCAATCCCTAGGAACATCAACATGGCTTATTCTCAGATTCCTAGGGTAATCAAATTCAGGATTAGAAAGCAGATTCACCCTTTACCTCAAGGTCCAATGCAAAGACAAACCTCTTGAAGCCAGGGCCCATACCCCACAGCCACCCTCATTTTTTTTTTTTTAATCCTGACATCATCACAGTTAAACAGAGACTCTCTTAAAGACTTTGAATCCATCAATGTAAAAGTTAGAAGGTGCCTGAGACACCAGTTAGTTCAACTGCACTCCCTGTTGACACCCTCCTGTCCCATTTAATAGATAGTAGAAATGAGGCCCTGAGAAAGGACATGTGATTTACTATGTGGCTTTGGCTGACCAGCACAGCATGACCTCAGGCCCTTGCTCCCCCAGGTCATCTCTTTCCTGCTCCTGGGCCTGATGTCCATGATGATTCCTCTGTGTCGGGGCTTCGGGGGCCTCATCGTTGTCTGCCTCTTCCTGGGCTTATGCGATGGCTTCTTCATCACCATCATGGCCCCCATTGCCTTTGAGCTGGTGGGCCCAATGCAGGCCTCGCAGGCCATTGGCTACCTTCTGGGCATGATGGCCCTACCGATGATTGCTGGGCCCCCCATTGCAGGTGAGGTTGCTATTCCAAGGAGGGCATAAGTGGGGGGAGTCCTGTCTTTGTTGGGCTCTAGTTCTCCTGAGCATATCTGCCTGAGGCCTCTCTTTCTCTTATTCTTTGTCTTAACAGTCTTATCAGAGTGCATGAAATGCCTTACCACTACTGGTGGAAGAAGCTAAGAGTACATACATGCATGGGTTCGTTTTACGGAATGAGTTTTCCACGATTGAATATCTGTTTTAATGGGGTTTTTAGTATAGACAGCATGGCTACTTCAAGGTGGTTAAGTGAAATAAATGAATTTTGCCTCCTTAACCATTCTATTAATCCAATATCCTCTGTCTCCACAGGCAAGAGATTATTTGCAAGGCAGCTGGGTAAGAAGAGAGGAGAAAGTAGCCCTAGTTTTAAGATTTAGACACATTCCCCTCTTCTACTGGCTTCTGAACTAAGCTTGTGGATAAGATTTGATTAAGGTCAGACCTTAGGACTAGGTCAGTGACTCTCACTTCCATTAAGTGACAGGCAAAGTGGTGGCTTGGCATCTTTCAGAACTCACAGTTTCCGCCTCCACTCTCCCAGAAGAGCATTTTTGGTACCCCAGGGGAATGCAGAAAACAAAGGAAAATCAATGAAAAAGGAACTCCATTTTTTTCCCCTATATTATTTATTGCGAACACTGTGTCATGGGCTATTCTCTCCTAGGCTGGTCAACTGGACTAACTCAACAAATATTGTGCAACGTCTTATGAGGGCACTACTCATGCTGTATAATAGTGGCCAGAACTTTCTCTCAGGCCCCTTGAGCAACAAGCCATACTGCCTACTGGGGGATGAGAACTTCTACCTAGTCCCTGAACCCAAAAGCGCTTACTTTCTGAGCAGCCCAAGGGCCTTGTTGCTTTTCCTAACCAATGTCTCTGGGCTCATCCTCCCTCTGAGGTGAGCTCCTAGAGGTGAGCAGGGGAAGCCTGTGTCCCATGACAAACACATCCACAGTATTGGTAGCTTGGAGGGACCCAGAAGGCCCAAACATATCTGTAGCTTGAAGGAAGGGTACACATACAGCCTCTCTTAAAGCAGATGGGAATCCAACTGAATTGTTCCATAAGAACACTCTAGCCTAAGTTGAGGTCAGGGAGAAAGGTATATCACTATGAACAAGCCAAGACCTAGCCATTTTCTTAGTTACCAAGTGCTTTAAACAGAAGTTAGTTTTCAATCAGGGTCTTCACTGTGTTAGTTATTTCTATGGATCTCTATCATAGTTTCTGGTGACAGCCATCAATCCTTGGCATTCACTGGTGTTCTTTGGTGCTTCTTGGCATTCCTTGGTGTCTGTCTTCCCCTGTGTACATATATCTCTGTATCTACTCTGCTGTTTTTAAACTCAGAAGTAATTAAGTTTAGGACTCACCCTACTCTGGTATGGCCCCACTAACATAATAGAAACAACTATTTCTAAACAAAGTCGTATTTACAGGTACAGAGGTTTAGGGTTTAAAATATTTGGGAGGACAAAATTTAATCCATAACACCCATCTTCTGTGGAGTCCTTTTAAATTATTTCCTAACTCCATAACTTGGAGTGATGGGAAGTTAGCCTTATCAAAGTCACAAATTTAAGAGAAGTTTCAATAGCTTCTTTCATAATGAGCATTAACCCCAAGAGCCTGCAGCCTTAGTACTTCAGGGAGGAGTCACCTGCCCTTATAGTACAAGTTTTATTTCTTCCTTCTAGGAATGTTTGAGTTTAAAGGGCTCTTGAGTCAAGACAGTGCAGGTCAAGGTTCTCTGGAGAGGCACTGTAAGGCCCCTTGTAGGGCAGAGAGCACCTTTGGGCAGTCAGGCAAAGTTGAACTTGACTTGTCTCTCTTGATTATTGCAGGGCTTCTCCGCAACTGTTTTGGAGACTACCATGTGGCCTTCTACTTTGCCGGTGTGCCCCCCATCATTGGGGCTATAATCCTCTTCTTCGTCCCTCTGATGCATCAAAAGATGTTCAAGAAAGAGCAGAGGGATTCCAGCAAGGATAAGATGTTGGCTCCTGACCCGGACCCCAACGGGGAGCTGCTGCCAGGCTCTCCCACCCCTGAGGAACCTATCTAATTCCTCTTTCTTGCCATTGTATGCTCCTTCCCAGCCATTCCTCTTCACCCTGCTCTGCTCAGCATTTATATTTTTGCACCAGCACACTCTTTCCCAAACCTGTGCACATAGCATTTCAGTCACCTGACCATCCCCTTGGAGCCAAAACTCCAGGTGTTCCAATCCCATTAACCAAAATTTCCCTATGAATGCCTTTAAACTTGCCAGGGTCCTTCTCCTCCCAGGATATGGGGAAGCTTGAGATCACCCCCTGGCCCTTGGAACTTCTTCCTCAGGGAAGAAGGGGATGGGACCTCTTGGCCCCAGCTTGTTAGTCACCTACTAAAAGCAATTCCTAAAGGTGCTACTGTGTCTCTAGAGCCTAGTGGGGAGAACTAAGCCTCTGTGTTTTGAGGAGTTGATTGCCATCTGTCCTTGGGAGCTGTTGGCAAAGGGGAGGGCTATGTTGGGGAAGCAGAATGAAACACAAAGCCCTGTTTAACCTCAGAGTCTCTGAAGGCTGTGGCTTCCTAAGATGTGTGGGTGCCACCATTTGACAAGTATACAGGCAGTCTCCCCATCATACAACTGGTTAATAGTCTGCTTCTTTCTTCTTTTCTTCCTTTTTTCCTCTACTGCCTCCTTCCCCTTCTCTTGCCTATTTCTTTTTATGACTATCATAGACACATGGCTATTTGGAGAAAGGAGGGATCCAGAGCTTAAGCCAATTAGCCTCACCTTGGCCCAGCCCACCCTTGACATTAGCATCAATCCCACTCATCTCAGGCTGAGCCATATCTCACTTTTTGGCTCAAGCTGATAGAATCATAGACTGGAAAAGTAGAATATCATATTGAGAAGGGACATTAAACAGCATAGAATTCTACTCACCAATTTTATAGACTTCCCAGGCTAATGTATTAACCTGGAGGCCCTCAAATCTCCCTACCCTTATATCCACCTGTCAAAATGTGAAGAAACTCCTTTCATCTCAGTAGGCAGAGGAAGACTGATGACAGGGAGATGGCATGGTCCTGGGAGGAGCAGTGTTACCAACATAGTGAAGAACCAACTTCTCCATCTCGCATTACTCATGACATGTCAATATTTCCAACCTGGGTCAGGCCAAGGAAGGGACTGCTTTAGGAAAACTCCCATTCCCAACCTTGATCCCAAAATGGTACAAGCAGCAGCTGCACATAGGTTTGGACAATTTGTTTTAGGAAAGGGAAGCCATCCTAGCCTTTACCCCCTAGTGTGTCCCCAGTACTGAACACTCTGGGACATTCTGCATAGGAAGTTGCCACAACCCCAGCAGGCATGAAAGATGCCAGGAAAAATGGACTCTAGACCATCTGCATCCCTCTGAAATGGGTGCCAGCTGCTTCTTAGTGCTCAGGCTCTGGGCAACTGTTTTGCTGAAGAGCACCCCCAGTGTTCCTGTCTAGGGATGGAGGGCACTGTAAGGCTGTATCCAACTTGCACAGCTCAGCTTATTAGGAGCTCAGCCTCTCTCTTCCACTTCAACTCTTTGTGTCTCCTTCTCCCTTCTCTGAACCTTTGTCTGTTGTGTTCCTGTCACCCCAGTCTTTCATCTTTTTGCCAGACATCCCCAGCTATCACTAGGAGACAACAGTGACTTGCCACCCCAAGTCAGGGCCATCCTGGGGCCAGGAGGATGAGGTCACTCCTGAGGGGCTCCAAAGAGGGCGAAGGTTCACACCCATATTATTTTTCCGTTACAAACAGGCAGCTGGGTCATGATTTGCCCCTGATGGTTTCATTCAAGGCCAAAGTCCTGAGCCCCCTGTCTTGGTCTCAGTCCAGCTCTTATCAAATCCTCAAAAGAAAATTCACTGGTTCTTGGCTCTGTGGATGAAAATGGGTCCAGTTATTACCCAGTTAATCCAAACAACAGTGGAGCAGAAGTTGGGCCCTAGGAATCTTGTAACACCCAGGAAAGACCAATGAAAATGCTGGAGCAGTAAAGCCCTAGCTTCCATTTCTCCTTGCCTTGCCTCCACTGTGTTACTAGAGAATGGTTTTTCTGGGCCTCCTTTGTTGCTCATGGTGCAGATAGCTCTTAAGAACCAGGCTGCCACCTACTTCTCTCCAGATGAAGGAAAGACATTCACAGGTCCAGCTTTGCCCATTCAGATATCACATAATGTGGAAGGGTCAATTTACTTCTTCCACACATGTGCATGTGCACATATGGGCTTGTATGCTTTTGGAGAATGCTGGTTGGTGAAAACAACACAGTATTAATAGTTAGGGTAGGAAGCAGCCTTTTATGCACCACAATTGAATCTAGGAGAATGAACAAACTTTAGGAGCTCGAGACCTGGGACATTAAAATCCTCAAGGGGTTTGGAACAAAATAAACTGATATAAAATCTAGTTTTTGTATGTACATTGCCTTCAAGGGTGAAATAACCCTAACCTAGTTGAGAGCAGAACAATTAGCATCAGGACGGAAATCTCACTTTAAATCAAATTTTTGCTAAGGTCTATGCTTTCTGTGGGAGCAGGAATTGGAAAAGGAGATATATGGAGGACTGGAGTCTGGTGGGTTGGTCAGGACTGGATTTTTTTTTCTTTTGAGGGAGCTCTGAAGTGAAAAAAGTAGTTACTTCACAAAATGGAACATGGTTACTAATTGAGTTGGAGTAGAGGCCCCCAAAATATGACCATCTTGTTACAAACATGCCATGTTGAAAATCAGCAAAGATCTTAGCAATAATCCAAACCAGCTCCCTTTTCTCTCCCTTAGGTTATTGGTGAGGAACCTGAAGAGACTGGCATAGTTGGGTCACATACCCAGGCAGCAACAGAGCCTAAAATTGGGGGTGATGCAAAAGAGAGACATACAAGAATGACAAAGCCAGGAGTAACCTTAGAGACTCCCTTTCCATACTCTGCATTGAGTTTAAGTGGGGAAACTGAGGCCCAGAGATGAAGGGACTGCCACAGGTTCACACAGTTTATCAGTGAAAGAGCTGGCTGAAACTTGAACCCAGATAATTAATTTCCAGTCCAATCCAAACCCCTCATTTTACAGATAAGGAAACTGGACTAGGGAGAGGAAATTAACTTGCTCACTTCATTCAATCAACAACTATGTAGTGAGCCTATTTCCAATAGAATGTCAGCAGTATCAACTTTGAGCAAAAACAAAAACTAAGCAAAGTCTGACTTTTAGCATACCCTGTGTCTTCACCATTTCCCCCACCCCTCAACCATCATATACTTTTATTATTATTATTATTGTGATGTGGGTGAAAGTTTACAGAACAAATTCATTTTCCATACAACAGTTCATATACATTTTGTTTCATGACATTGATTGCAATCCCCACAATGTAACAGCTCTCTTCCCACTTCCTCCTTGTGGTTACCTTTGCCCTGTGTCCTTCTTTCCCATGCATTGCTGCCCTCTGAGTTATCTCCTTGTGCAAATACTGCCCTTCTGATCTCCCATGTCAACCAACATATACTTTTGGTATTTTCTCTTCCCAAGCACTCCAGACCTTAATGCAGTCTTGGGCTTGGAAAGCTGGTTTCACTTACTCCCTCCCAACCCCAGCAACCCAAGAGGTACGAATGAAGTCCATCACCATAAGGCCATACACTGGGTGGGAAGGGGGTAAAGGGAAGGGAATGATTTTCTTTGGGAGAGAGTAGATTACTACCCAGTTTTTGGCTATTGTCATCTTTTCCCCCATTCAGTGCTAGATATCCAGCCTCTTGATCTCCTAATGAGGCTAATTACTCTATAAAATTGCCTGGCCCCAAGCTCTCCTACCCAAAATCTGCTTCCTCCTCAGTACCTCCTCCAGCAACTTTAAGGCACCAGTCTGATCACCCAGGATCATTAGATTTCATAGCTGTTAAATCTCATAATTTATAAGACCATATGCTCTCCTACAGAGCCTTTTCATGTCTGAAAATGCAGCCACCAGTTCCCTGCTACATCACAGCAGCAGACGGGGGATTACAGGTGCCCTAAGAAACCCCAGTATTTGACAGCTGGTGTCTAGACAGGGTAGGTGCTGTAACCAGAGCCTTTCAGGTAGATTCTTTAATTCTAATAAGCTGAACTGTAGAAGACACAGCAGAGGTACAAGGAAAAGGAGTAGTATAGGAGGCTTTGCTGCAGGAGGTCCTTTGACTCCTTCCTTTCAGCTCTCTCTAGCAGTCACCCAGAGAGATCCGTGCCTGCTTTTCAAGTCATTTCACCAATATTTTCTAGAGGCCTTCTATGTGTCATGAACTCTGTTAGAACTCAGGGACTTAAGAAATGAAAGGGATAGAGGTAGAGAAAGCAAAGGGAAGAAAACCAAAAGGAACTTTTTGAGATACCTTTTCTGACCCCAGGAACCCAGAGTGTACCAATTTAGGTGCCAAAACTCAATCCCTTCTGGAAGAGGACAGGGGTCATAACACTCATCAGGACAGAGCCCCTCTGCTCTTCTCCCAGCCACCAGACTCCCTGCAGCCAAAGTTGCACCAGAATGGATACCCGTGTGGGAGCGTTGGTTCCTTGCTGAGCTGAAGTCAGATAAAATTAGCCCATTGCTCACATCTAACAAGCATCAGAGCCCTACTCCAGCTGGGAGAAGGGGAGGGCAGCTGGACCAGATCACTTTCACACCTGCGGCCACCCAGACAGATGGTCTGGTGTGGTGTCCCAGGCCCAATACCGCTTCATTGTAGGCTGTGACCACAAGGGGTGGGATGAAGGAGGGGGTAGGTTAGAGATCAGCAAAGCAACTTCTCTTGCGGTGTCTTTTGACCCACCTCTTCTTTCCACGGAGCTGGCTCTGAGCTCACCTGCTAAAGGGCCCCTGTGATTCATGGACTCTGATCTCAAATTCTGGAAGGTGGGAGAGAAAAAGGGGTGATTACCTCACTTATACCTTCCTTTCTCCCTGTACACCCATCCTCCACTGCCCTCTCAAAGCCTGGGCAGAGGAATTCCAGGCTGGGGGCTTTGAATCAGTACAATTTCCCACCAGGTT